TACATACATCCAAAATGATTACAGACCCAAATGCAAAAGCAAAATTTAAGAGTATTGAAAGAAAATACCGAGTATGTTTATGACCTTAGAGAAGGCCTCTTACAGATTACCACTGTTTTAGACACATGAAAAGGCTTAAAGAGTATTCTGATGACCATCCATGCTCTCATTACAGCTTAAGAAATAAAACTTGACAAATACAGTTGGAAGCCAAATAAACCATCCTCACTCTTAAGAAGTTCAGTTTAGAGAGGTAGAAGTGCATACAATGCTACAGAAGCATATGAAAGAACTCAACCCAGAAAGGGCCCAGGAAGGTCAGATATGAAATATGAGTAAAGGTTTTTCTAAACAGAGAAAATAGCATACACATGAGCTATATGTCATCTTTGACTCTAAATGTCAAATGAAGATTATCAATGGCAAAATTCCAGCACATGCCAGTGTACAAACCACAGCTCTGCTGAGTTTACTTTGTGTTAGGGAACACATGTGAGGGAATACAAAAGAACATCCAACCATAAGCAGACTGTGCAGACAACCTATATGAAATGCACTATTCAGAAGTAATGATGAAACCAATCTACCTCAGAGCAGAGGATGAAACTGAGTAAACAGAAAATGAAAATTAGGGGGTAGAACATCCAAATTTTAACAGGGCAACAGATTTACTGTGCTGAAAGGAACAGAGCTCCTGCTATGGATAAGTTTACATATATAGCTTTGAAATAATAATCTATACTACAGGCACATTTCAACAGATATAGCTCTCTTAAGTGATGATCAAGTTTCTTTTTTTTTTTTTTTAATGTTTTATTTATTTCTGAGATAGAGAGTGATAGTGTAAGCATGGGAGGGTCAGAGAGAAGGAGACACAGAATCTGAAGCAGGCTCCATGCTCTGAGCTAGCTGTCAGCACAGAGAACGACGCGGGGCTCGAACCGTGAGATCATGACCTGAGCCGAAGCCAGGATGCCTAACCACTGAGCCACCCAGGCGCCCCCAAGTTTCTAACTTCTCGTTAAATCTCATTAAGATATACTAGTCAGAATAAAAAAGAGACTGTAGCCATTGTGACAGTATCACAAGTGTTTCTGAAACATTCCATATTGTTGACTATCTTTGCTTCCTGAATTTCTCTTAATCTCCTGGTTTCTATGTAACAATATCATGTGGTTGATTTCTATCCTTTATCTGTTTTACTGTCTTCTTCACTGAATTCTCTGCTAGGTTTTATCTCCCGGCTATGAATGGAGCCAAGAGTATTTAGAATCTACTACTTTTTTTTTTTTTTTTTAGGTTTATTTATTTATTTTGGTGGGAGGCAGAAAGAGAGAGAGAGAGAGAGAGAGAGAGAATCCCAAGCAGGGGTCCTGCCCGATCAGTGCAGAGCCCAACATGGAGCTTGAACCCACTAACTTCCTTGAAAATACAGGACTTGAACTATCATCTCCAAACAAAATAATTTCAATAATTCTGGCTGGAAACTTTCTTTTGATTCCAGTTATATATCATTGTCTTGGATATTCTGCTTCTGACTCAAACTGAAAGGTCTAAAAACAAAACACATATATTGTATACATACATACATACATGCACCCACTTTTTTAAAAAGTCACAGTACTCATCTTTTTACCCCATCTAAGACCACCCTTCTTGAACTGCCTAAGTCAGTGGGGTCCACTGTTGTTTCTTTTCTATTAAATTCTAGCTTGTCCAATCTTTTTTCACAATGTCTTTCCCATTTGTCTCTTCCTTTCTACCCTGTGCCATGACCCATGTAATCTAGGCATCTTAGTACTTATCACTGCCTTCCTGCTTCCAGTCTCTTTCTATCCTCCGAATCATTCTGACATTATAGGTAGATGAATCTATTAACCACATTACTTTAAAGTTGTTACACTTTCCCTCAAAAGCTTTTTAAAGGGTGAATATTAATGTCAAATATTTTAGCTATTTAAGAGCCTAAAAATTTGGCTTCATGTGCCTGTCTCACTTATCTTCTCCAATATTTAAATTCTGTTCTAGAGAGGTTCTGACTGAGCCGTAGAGCATGAGATTCTTGATCTAGGGGTTGTGAGTTCAAGCAGATTAATAATCTGCTGAAATTATTAATGTAGTTTCCCAAATGCAAAGCAAATATTTAAGCTTTCATTTTACTTGACCTCATCATGCCGTTCACAATCTGGTCTACATTTTATGACTCCCTACTAGCCACTTGTGGCCACTAAGTTCAAGCCACTACAAACTACAAGGCTTTCTCTAACACACTTTGTTATTTCAGAATTTTTACTTCTACATATGCTATTCCCTGCCTTTAGAATGTCTTCCAGACTGTGCTTGGTACCGTATATAACTCAGATGAAACATCATCTCTGGTGTGGAATTTCCCCCTCCCACAAACATCTTTGCTCCCAATGCACTTGAGTACCGTTTGGTAACAGGGCTAATAACACTGTACTTTGTATGCCTTGATATTCTCAGAATCTAAGATACTCTGAGACACACAGAAAACAATTAAGAGTGGGTTTTAAAAGATTTTCTGGTATGGTCATATTATTTTGGTCACTGACCTTCAAGTAAACTACATGAAGAGGCAGTATATGCATCACAGTTAACAGCTCAGATTCTGAAGCCAGGCTGTCTAGGTACGAATTTTGGATCTGCCTCTTACTAACTGTGTGGCATTCGACACATTAACCTCTCTTTGCTTTAGTTTCCCTCTTTGTAAAAGGAAAATAATAACATTTACCTCCTAACGTTATAAGGGTTAAAAGAATATGGGCAAAGTGCTCAGAAAAGTGACTGGCATACAGTAAGCACTGCGTATGTACTGGATACTATAATTAATACATCTTGCTTACTTCTTGCCCTTTCTACATAGACCTCTTTTGGAATGGGTTTCCTTCATTTTTCTCCTTATCCAAATCTTACAAAGGTTTCAAGTGTGAGCTCTGCTCAACCCTTTGATCATTCCAACCCTTAAGTAATCACTCCCTAATTTATATCTACAGCATTTTCTGTATCATTCTGCATCTCATTAAAACTGCTTTGCAGCCTTGCAATTTTTCATACCTTTGTCAGCCCAATTTCTGTAAACTCTATGAAGGTCCTGATGATATTTCCTGCATTTTTGTGAATTCCTAGAGCCAAGAGTGTTTAGCATTTGTTGTGTAAAATAATAAACAGAGCACAAACTTCAATTCTGATCATACTGTCTTTGCAATCAAAGAAATGGAGAAGGCTATGAGAACATTCCACACACTTCTTTACGAGCCAAGCTGCAAATGTATTAGGGCCATGGGATCCTGACTCTTGTTAAGATGAGAAACTCTCAACTAGCTTTTCTGCGGGGGGGAGAAGGAGGAACCCTTCCTGCAGAAGAGTTATGGGGGAGTCCAAAGTTCCCAAACTGTAGCAGTGGACCCTCTATGAGAAATGTGTCAACATGACAAATGACAAAATGGAAGTACAGGACTTGCAATTACACAAATTGTAGGTTTCAAGGGACCCTGAGCCTCAGTTACCTTCTTTTTAAAGTGGGTATTCCAACATCTCCTTCATAGGTATATAATAATCAACATTTGCCCTAACATTTAATCCCACTGCAAATTCCCTTAGAAAACTGTTTAAATCAAGTGAAAATACTGCAACTCATAAATGAAAATGAGAACACTGCACACATTTTTCATTACATAAGAAAATATGCTAAATTAGCTGGCAGGAGTACTGTAATATTCTAAATTACCTCTGAGAAAATTAAACACGTCTAGTGCTGTCAATTATACAGACTCGTGAAGAGTGAAAAATTCCACTACAAAACTTAATCTCCTTTCCTCTCACTTTCTCTCCATCCTGTAGTTCTTTTCTTCCATTTGTGATTAAAAACAAGTGTTCAAAATTAACCCCCCCAAAACATGCCGGAAAGCATGATTTAACTTAATAGCAAGTTGGTTCTATAAATGTAAAATTCCATTTACAGTCCAAAAATACTTCCAAATGGGAATTATTATGAATTTAAGAAATTAAGATAATGGCGAACAGCTCATATGATGATCTGCGTCAGGAATTTCAAATTAAGAGTTGTTCCAACTTGAAGCTGGCAGTCACACAGTCTAAAGGGTTTGTTTACAGCACTGACTTAACCAAAGACTCCAATCTTTTAGAAGAGTCACTGGGGCATTCTAATCATTACTTATTTTAAAGCAGTGTAACTGCTGAAATGCCCAATACCAACTACGCAAATTAAACCGAAATGGGTGTCCTTTCTGAAGGTAAAAGAGAACAGAGGTGGCCAGTCTTATTTCTAACTTGATATTTTTTTCAGTTGTAGTTATGAATAAAAAATGCAGTTCATCTCCTTAAAAACAGGACCTTGCTGCTTGGAATAAACCTTTAAGCTTGGTAGGGACGGGTGAAATTTTGAAGATGAATCTGGCGCTTTTCTGATACAGTGGTGTTAGGTGGGATTCGTTGCAACCGGTACACAAAAGAGATAAACAGAAAAAAGACACCAGTTTAAAAGGTTTTAAGCTGAACTTCCAAGAATGTTGAAACATCACAATTTCGGGATGAAAAGATGGCTATGGGGAAGAGAAATTAACCTCCAGGTAGAAAATGAAGAGTCAAGTGGAATTTAAGGGGAGAAGGAGCAAAAAAAAGTGGGGACTGGGGGGGCGGGGGCCTAAGAAGGTTACGTGTGTGTGTCCGTCCCCGTCCGTCCGTCCGTCCCCTCTGGAGGTAAGGTATGCACTTAGGGTTGAGATATGTAGTTGACAAAGTTGCGGAAATCTTCGGAGGTGTGCGAACAGGGAAGGGAAGGAGGAATATGGGGATTTCCAGACTGGGACGAACAAACTTGGGGCTCGCGCGGTGTTGGGGCGCCCCTCTCCCGAGGGTGGATGGCCCTCTCGACTGCTAGGTCCCCGGGCCCGAACGCGCCGACTCAGCCCTCACCCTCCCGCTACACGGCCCTTCACTAGACTAAAGCACCTCCTCACCTCAGGCCGCGGCGCCTCGCTCCTCCGCTTCTGGACAGCCCACGACTCCCTCGGTGCCACGCCGGGCCGGGCCCATGGGCCGCGCAGCCTCGGCCTCCGGCTCAGCTGCGCCCGGGCGTTCCCCGCGCGGCTCCACGGGCCTCTCGGTTACTCGCTTGGGCTCCGGCTCGCTCCCGGCTCCTTCCCGCAGACGCGGCACGCGGCCCTCCTCCCACGGCGGGGCGTTGCGCCCTCTGACCCCGCCCCGCAGCGCCCTCGCCGCGTCCCGCCTCCAGACTTAGGGACTGTATGCTGATTGGCCCCAGAGAGACCCGGCGCGCCCGGGCATTGGCCTGGCGGCAGCCCGTCGGCAAAGGGGCGGGACACCAGGCAGCAGCGATTCCCGTAACGCGGCTCCAGGCGTCCGGGATTCCGGTGGCTGCGCCCGCGTCGCGTCTCCTAGACCAGATCGAAGGGTTCCCCCCACCTCCCCTCAGCGGGCGGAAGGAGCGGAATGTTCCATTTTCCCGTGGAATAAAGGGGTCGTGAACTGAAGCCCGGGTGCTTTCTACGCCTGCTGCCCTCCCTCCTCGCCGCGGTCCCTTCGGCCTTCCTTAGCGGCCTTCCCTGAGGGACTCTGTGCAGTGAGGGACCGCCAGGCTCCATTAGGGACAAGGGAGGCGTGGGAGCTCCTCGGGAAAAGTGAAGGGCCCAGGGTCGTGACTGGACACCAGATTACCGGAGATCGTGGGGGCGGCGGCCTTGGTACATGTCTTACATAAACTAACTTGCCGTGATATATCATTTTTTAACCTAATGAGTTGGTTGTGATTGGTCAGTGAACTCCAGAGCTGGCGACAAGCCAAGAAACTAGTTTTTTTCTTTGCGGTTTGCGCCTCCCGATCTGTGATAAAAATGCCTAGCAAAAACTAATTTGGGGGCTGTAGGAAAAATGGCAGGCTGTAGGAGGGCAGTAATGGTTTAATGGGCTTGAACAAAGTATACCCATAAATTAACAGACAATTATAAAGTTTTTCATTACATTGAGGACTCAGAGTAAAACACAGAGTATATTATGATCTCTTTGTTGATCAGATAATTTTTAAAAGACACAGAAGTAGGTCTAGTGCTAAGGGAGTCCCAAGCAATCTTGGAGATGGCGCTCTGAGATAGAGACAAAGCTTCGGTGTTACTTGTTCAGCTCTTGATACTCCTCGTCATCCTATGGCTAACTCAATCAAGTGTGACTGGATTGTATTCTAGTTCTGCCATTTATAGGGGTGTTTAAAACAAACATATAACATTTAGTTAAATTAAATTTTTTATTTAGATCTAGCACACATTTATTTAGAGGCAATGTGTCGTGGTTAAGCATACCTTCTGGCTCCAAGTTGCCTGAGGTTGCATCCTGGTGCTGCCACTTCCCATGTCTGTGACCTTGGGCAGGTCGTCTAGGTTTCTATATCTGCAAAATGAGAATAAGGGTACCAACCTAATAGGATTACTGTAGAGGTTAAATAAGTTAAAATAGATGAGGTGCTTTGTAGACAGTAGGTGCTCAATAAATGTCAGCTTTTGTAGTTATTGAATGTCTGTTAGGTTAATGCTTCCCAAATCTTTTGCATCACAGCATATGTTGAACATGATGATATTTCTCTGGCACAGGGAATAAAGACAGAAGGAATCAGTATCTCACAGCACACTAGTCTGCCTTGGGCACTGGTCAAGAAAGCAAAAGACCGAGTTAGTCCTTTTGTGGATATCTCTGTATTTGCTTAGTCCTAACCTCTAAGAAACTCACATTTTGTAGGGCCAGTTAAAGTCCTGGGCTAAAAAAAATGAACCAATCTTGGAGAGAGATTTTTCAGAATAGGACGAGCCCTTCTCCCTTGGCTGCAGTTTTATGAATTTGCAGACATCTCTTTAGGGTACTGGCCCCAAAATGACCATTTTTACATTACGGATGTGTCATGAGAAAGCTCCGTCAAAATGCAATAATAAGTGGGATAAAGTGACATATCAATCGAGAACTTTCCAAATGTGCCTTGGGATCATGTGGGATGTCACATGTGTCAACAGTGGAGGGTTGGGAAGTGCACGGTGAGAGAGCCACACGAGGACCCCGAGGTAACTTGATGGACAAAGGTAGGAAAAAATGCTGTGCAACAAAGGTAACATATGTCAGAGAGAAATTTTGCCTGCTCGCTATTGCATACAGTTGACCCAAACCGAAGATAGCCATTGACTTCCTTGCCTGTGCCCAACTGTGTTTCTGAAACTCTGTGTCAGCCTGGAACTATCCCCGTGTCCTGCCCCAACCTAATGATTTCAGCCAGCATGATAATGACTCAGTTAGCACCCTGACCTCACAACTTCTCATCTTTCTCTGTTCCAATCAGCCTCAACTTCACCCTGTCAGAAGCCTGCAGGTGTAGCCACTCCTTGAATCCAGTCATCAGATGAAATTACTCCACCTGCAAACTTCAGTCGTTAAGTTTCTTTCTACCCTTTCTACCCGCAGCCACCTACTCTTGTACCTCTCTTACTCCCTCACTCCATCTATGATTTGTCCTCAGTGTGACCTCTAGTCTTGATTCTCAAAGTTTATTAGTTATTTCCTACCTTCACTTTATCTCCCTAAACGGTGAGAACCTTTTTATCAACTTTTTTCACTACACTCTCACTAGTATCTTCAATTCCCTTGACCTTCAGCCATGTTTACCTTATCAATGCTGTTTCCTAACTATTTCCCTTATCCTTGAACTACCAGCCCCACCCTGACATTTATGCCTAGTGAGGAGTCTTGTTTCATCATTTCCTGGAGAAAACCAATACCATCCTTTGTGAGCAATCTTAGCTTTTCTCCAATTTAGGAAACAACTGTATATCCTTTTCCTCTTTTCCCACTGCCTTATTATTTAAAAGTTTTCCTCCTTCTGTGTTCTTGGTCCCACTCTTACCAATTTTAGTCCCCTAGTTTAATATTTCTCATTATTAGCATAGAATACCTTAGAAAAATTTTAAAAATTAAATATTTAATCAATGGTGAGTTGGGGACAGCTTTTCTGTGTGTGTTAAAATCTTTGTAACCTAACAGCATCTAATTCACCAAGCAAAATGAAAAGTAATTCAAAATAAGTTTCAAAATGGAACAGTTTCAGCCACACTGTGATCTACTTAATAAGTCTAGGATGAAATACGAACTTAAGTGGCAACCAAATCTGCAAGCTCAAAAACATGACAAAGACATTTCATAGCAACAAAACTAAGCAAGAATGTGACTCCCTTTCAAAAATTTTACTGCAGAATAATCACTGGGCATACCGTTAAGAACACAACTTGATAGTTTTTCACAAACTGAGCAAAGCCATATAATGTGCATGTAGATCAAGAAAAAAAACATGACCAACACCTGCAAAAAGGCCTTTCCTGCTTCCTTCTGGTTATTGTAAAGTCACTGGTGACCGCTGTTCTAACTTCTAACGCTACAGTTTTATGGCTATCATTTTAAAATTGAAAATTTAACAGAAACGTAATTTATCAGTATTTGCTTAATGAATAACTAGAGTACAGCAAGAGAGTTAGGAATGAAATAAATAGGAGCACCTGGGTGGCTCAGTCAGTTGAGCATCCAACTTTGACTCAAGTCATGATCTCACGGTTGGTTCGTGAGTTGGAGCTCCATGTTGGGCTCTCTGCCGTCAGCCTGTCAGTGCAGAGCCTGCTTTGGATCCTCTATCCCCCCCTCTCTCTACCCCTTCCCTGCTTGCACTCTCCCCAAAATAAATAAATATTTTAAAAAGAAAGAAATGAAATAAATACTGCTCTGTATAAAGGCTAAAACACAGATACAAACTGAAGCAGAGAGAGTATAGCATCCTGTTACTCTGACCTCTGGATAGCTGTATCAAATAGTTCTGGGCTTGTCAATGATCTTGCACTACCCTCTTTCACAGGGAGAATGAAAGGCCAGTGCAGAAGTGTGAGCACCTAACTGTTGCATCCTATTCCCAGACACATATAAAGGATAAGGAAGTCAGGTATTGGGACTACAGCTTTGCAGTGACCCAGACTAGCTTCAGAATGTCATCTTAAGGATTTTCACCATACTTTGCTTTTGTCAACTCTGACACAACTCTTGGAGAGGCAAAGGTTTTTCCGCTGTTGACCCTCATATGCAAAAATACTTTTCAGTTACAAAATAGATTCCCTGGCTCAAAGTCTGATACTTAGTACTAAAACCAGATAAATAAGAGAGTACCAACATGAATTTTTTTAAAAATTTACTTTATGGGTTTATATGGCCAAGAAATCCCAGCCCTTTGCCTAGAATTTGGATACAGTTTCAGTACCAACTGCATAAAATAATGGCTGAGGGAAATCTGTCTCCTCAAGGGAAGCTGGTGCACCAGTGCTTACTGAAAAGGCAATAATTCATTGAATATACTTCTTGCAAATAGCTGGAATGTTTTTGAAAATTGTCCTGATTTTTCTTTAGAATTTTAGAGTTTGATCATTTTCTGGGATCAACAAATAATAAATGGAATTTAGTGTCCAGTCAAATGAGAATGAGAACAAAGCTAATCTAGCTCATATTTCAAATTATGAGAATCACTATTTTGCTGTAAGTGGGCATGATACACAGAATCTTACTGTAAATTCTATGATCTCTGGCTTCCCAGTGTTCTTTGTGTGATTTCCTCTCCGTGAGAGAAGGGGTATACAGAACCATGCTATGTAAGACCACAGTGACCATCTTGCTAGTGGCTGTCTGTCGTGGCTTTGAAAACTCAAATGGCCATATTATGTTACATTAAACTGAAGTACCTGTCTTGTGAGGAGACTCTCTTCCTTGCTGGCTTTGATGTAGCAAATGGCCATACTGTGGGCAGTCACATGGAGAGATCCATGGATCAAGGAATGGAAGGTGGCCTCTGGCCAACAGCTAGTAAGTAACTGCAGCCTTCAGTCTTACAACCTCAAGGAACTGAATTCTGCCAACAAAAGCAGATCCTGCCCAAGTCAAGCCTTGAATAAGACAGCATCCTCAGCCAACAAATTGACTGCAGCCTTATGAGACCCAAAGCAGAGAATCTAGTCAAGCTGTGCTCAGACTTTGGACCCATAACTGTGAGATAATAAATGTGTGGTAAGATGATAAAGTTTATAGTAATTTGTTGTGCAGCAGTAGAAAACTAACACAGAAGGCAAAAGTTGAA